GGTACTGCTACAATGCTATAGTAAAATAAAGATCTAGTGACCTAGCCCTTTTAAAAAAAGAAAAAAAAAAAAAGGAGTCCATTGGTGTAAAAAAAGAAAAAAAGCTCCATTATAGCAAATGGATAGTGCCACACCTAGTTATTTTAGGTTTTTGGATAATCATGTCTCTTTGTACATCCATTTTCAAACCTCAAAAAAATTGAGAATAACATGAGAAGATTACGGAGCAATCAAAATAAATAAATAAAATAGTTTAGATCAATCAAAGAAGGCTATTACTTTGCACCATACAAATATGATGGTGTGCTTTTAACATAATCTAATCCCTATATATTTTATGAGTTGCTTGCTACTTATTACCTTGAACTTCCAAAAAAGTTCGACTACCAAGCATTTGCCTCTCTAGGAATAGTACTAGTCGGCCATCGTGCTAATGCTTGTGTCCTTAGTTACTCTTGTTTAAAGATTTGATGAAGGGATATATGTCGATCATGATTCATGAAATCTTTAAATAATGTCAATGATTTTTTCCTTTAATCTTACATTTACAACCAATCGGTTACAAACGAAATAAGAAATAACATAGAGAGAAAGATGATGATTTTATATGAGAATCATGTAAAATGAGGAAGAAGAAAATGTAATCAAAAACAAGTGAGAGTCAACATAATTTTTAATTTTATGATAGAAATTGAATTCCATGAATTCTAATTTCTCGGAAAATAGATTATTTTAGTATTTAGTTTTATCTTAAAAAAATAAATAAAATATCCTATTACATTTGGTTGTGAAAAGCAAAATGAGTTCAAAAACATATCTCGCTTTTGGTGTATACTCGAAAAATCAATTACATAAGTTAAGTCTATTATCCGCATATGAACAAGGCACATCCAACAGTTGGATGAGTTTGAAAATCCCCATCAATGATGTTTATATATGTTTGGAAAATAATGCTTGTTTTACCGGTAGAGCCATTAAATCCGAATTTTAGCTTAAGAGTAATTGCGAATTGCATTAAATTAACTTAGCGAGATATTCCCATTTAGAAATAAGAGAATAGAATAATATATTTTGCATATTGAACTACATGCATACATCATGTATATATATAGGTCTAGAATCAATCTAAATCCTTAGAATGAAGTTATCATTAACTTCCTAGAAATTAACTCTTTAATCGGTCTTATAATTGATGACTCTATAATTGACTTACTATATTTTCATGAGAATCAATCCTATAATGGACTTACTATATTTACAACACTCCCTCTTAAGCTGGAGCGTAGATGTTAATCATGCCCGACTTGTTACAAATATAATCAATCCTAGGATCTCCTAAAGCTTTGGTGAAGATATCGCCTAGTTATTCTTCGAGTTTGATATGACTTATAAAGATCAATCCTTATTGAATTGTTTCACAAATAAAGTGACAATAGATCTCGATATGCTTAGTTCTTTCATGAAAAAATGTGATATGATATGAAGAGCGACTTGATTTTCGCACCACAATTTCATAGGAAGAGGATTTTCAAGACCAATCTCATTTAACAATTGATATATCCACACAAGTTCACACGTGGATTGAGCCATAGCTCTATACTCCAATTCCGTGCTAGATCAAGACACAACATTCTCGCTTCTTGCTTTTCCATGACACCATATTTCCACCAAGAAAGATACAATACCCTATAAGAGATCTTTTGTCAATCTTACATCCAACCTAATCCGCATCCGAGAAACACTCAATACTAGAATGGCCATGATTACTATAAAGTAAACCATGCCCCGGAGTCCCTTTGAGATAACATAAGATCCGTTCTAATGTTGCCTAATGAGTAACTCGAGGAAAGGACATAAACCGACTCATAATGTCGACAGGATATGTGATGTCAAGACGAGTTACTCGTGAGATAATTTATTTTCTAACTAACCTACAATATCTCTTGGGATCAATAAACAACTCCTCATCATCTCTTGTAAGCTATAAATTAGTAGCCATTGGTACACTAAAAGATTTAGCTCCTAATTTTATAGTTTCTTTCGATAGAACAAGAATATACTTTTGTTGAGAAAGAAAAATACCTTTCTTGGACCCGGTAACTTTAATACCTAAGAAATACTTTAATAAACATAAGTCTTTTGTTTCGAATTTAGTATGGAGAAAAGACTTGAGGGCTAAAATACCAACATCATCACTATCGATAATCACAATATCATCAACATATATAATTACCAACATAATACCAATTTTTGATTGTTGGTAGAAAATAGTATAGTCACAAGCATTCTTTTTATACCAAATTCTTGAGCTATAACACCGAATCACCCAAACCAAGCACAAGGACTCTGTTTTAGCCTATACAAAACTTTTGAAGTTTACAAACTTTCCCATACTCCCCTCGAGCAATAAACCCAGTGGTTGCTCCATACGGACTTCCTTCTACAAATCACTATGAAAAAAAAAACATTCTCGATATCTAACCGATGTAAGAGCCAACCATTAGTAGAAGCAAGAGAGATAAACAAACAGTACGGATGCAAGTTTAGTAACCAAAGAAAAAGTATCAAAATAATCTACACCATGTGTCCGAGCATATCCTTTTGCAACTAATCGAGCTTTAAGATAAGCCACATAACCGTCAAGATTAACCTTGACAATATACACCTATTTATAACCAATAGTCTATTTACCTTTTAGGAGATGCACCAATTCCTAAGTACCATTACCATCTAAAGCTATCATTTCCTCCTCCATAACGATCCGCCAATCAGGATGGGACAAGGCATCATGTAATGTTTTAGGTACGGATATTGAATATAACAAAGTGATAAAGCAATGCAAAGAAGGAGACAAGTGATTATAAGAAGCGAGATGAAAAGATAGGATGAGAACATTGTCGTTTACTTTTACGCGAGTGATATGAAGATCAAGACTAGGATCCGTAGAGGAACAACTGGCGGAAGATGTGAGTCTTGATTTGATTGTATATATCGTGGATGAGTACGGCGAGAGTAAACTTAAGTGATAGATGGCTTAATGGGTATATGAGATTTAGTAGTTGTTGTCGTAGTATATATGAGAATATCATCTTCCTTCCCCTCACAATTACATGTAATAGGTTCATAAAAAAATGGAATAGTCTCAAAAAATGTTACATCAACTCAAAACAAATAACAACCTAAAGTAGGAGAATAACACCTATAACCATTCCGAAGACGAAAATAACCCAAAAAGACACACTTAGGAGATTTTGGATCTAACTTAGGCACTTTGGGATTAACATCATTAACAAAACACGTACAACCAAAGACATGTGGTTCTCGACACGTAATTAGCCCAAAATTGTTTAAGAACTTTCATCCGGAAAAGAAGGGTTTGAGCAACCTCTAGTAAATATCTATTTTTTCGTTCGAGTAACACCATTTTAAGGTGGTGTGTCAACACATGATGATTGATAAAGAATTCTATTTTATGTCATATAAGTATTGAATGACTCAAAGAAATAGTTATCCGCATTATCACTCCTCAAAACACATACCGAAACATTAAATTGAGTTTGAATTTTAGCACAAAAAGTACAAAATATAGAGAACAATTCAAATCAACTTTTCATTAAATATAACCAAGTAAAATGAGAATAGTCATCAAAAAATATGACAAAATATCGAAAACCGAGTTGTAGAAGTCATTGGACAAGGACCCCAAACATCGAATGAACTAACTCAAAGGGTAATATAACCCGTTTATTGACTCTAGGAAAATACGACACACGATGGTGTTTAGCAAACCGACATGACTCATATTCTAAAGTAGATAAATTTTGAAATTGAGGAAAAAATTTCTTTAAAACAAACAAAGAAGGATGCCCTAACCAATAATGCAACTCTAGAGGTGTTATAATACTAGAATAAGTGATAGGTCATGGTATAGGTTGTGATATAGGTTGAAGATAATACGACCCTTCGTACTCACATCATCTACCAATAATCTTTCCCGTCATAAGATCTTAAAATAAACAATCGTCGGGAAAAAATAAGACACAACAATTAAGAGCTCGAGTGATTTTACCGATCGACGATAGATTAAATGAAACATTGGATAAACATAAGACAAATGACAAAGAGAGTTATGATGTATGAAGACCTATTCCAATTCCTATAACGTATATGGTTGAGCCATCAACCAAAGTGACATTAAGAAGATTTTTCCGTGAAACAAATGAGAAGAGAATATCTTTATTACTCGTCATGTGATTCGTAGCACTCGAATCAATGACCCATTTAGAAAAGGATGACACAAGACATGTAGTAGGTTTACATGTCTCATCACCGATATCCGAAAGTGGATTGGAAGACTTTAGTGAGGATTGATACAGAGTAAACTAAGCAAAGTCATCAACAAACACCATTATAGACCTCTCAAATGAGGAAGAGACAGGACTAGCCTTTTGGGCCGCAAAGTTTGCGGAATGAATTATAACAACATTAGAGATCATAGTCTTCTTCTCTGTTTCATCGGCCATTAAATAAAAAAAAGGAAGAAAACGAGACGAGCAAGGTCGCGACGGCTCACTAGGGTAGCGACAAAAAAAAAAAAAAGAAAAAAAAATGTGATAGCTCACTAGGGCAACGACAATGCAGATACTCAATTAGGACAACAAGCTCTAATAGCATGTAAAAATATGAGAATAAAATAATATATTTTATTTATTGAATTGCATAAGTACACCATGTATATATATAAGTCTAGGATCAATCTAAATCCCTAGAATCAAGCTGCCATTAACTTCCTAGAAATTAACTCCTCAATCAACTTTATAATTGACAACCCAATAATTAACTTACTATATTTACATTTACATGAGAATCGATCTTCCAGTAGACTTACTATATTTACAACACCCATTACATTAAATTAACTTAAGAGTAATTGCGAATTGCATATAATTCCAAAATAAAATTTGCTTTCGTTACCATGCAACATAATCAGGTATATCTAGTTATTTCAAGTGGTTTATTATCTCCAAGAGAGAGGTGCAAGTACCAAATATCACAACAGCAACACCAAGTAGCACTACACTCCCTAATACCACCATTTCAAATCCGAATCTCTGGTAAGTTCCTGAAATCTTCAAGTAACATAAGCATGGAAGTATAATAGAAGCCGTCATACTTAAAAACGCTCCGACCAGCGACATGAGGTCACCAAAGAAAGGGAGAGAGAGGGCTAAAATGACACTGCTGATCACTAAAGCAGTACTGGTCAAGAAGCTAAATGCCCTTGTATTGCAGTTCATTGGAAGCCAACTTTTGGTAGCATTCACTATTGGCATAACCATCAGGGCGAATTTTGATACGGGATTGACCAGTGTAGTGTATATTGCCAGTCTTGAGCTAAACTTATTGGTTGGAAGGTTTAAGGTTATCTGTGACTGGACGTTTGATCCAAACATTAGGTAACCCAGAATCGCCATTGATGCGTAGCCAAAGGTGCATAAAATATAACAAAGAATCATCACCTGCAATAAAAAAAACGACTGGACTTTAGCTTTAATAAACCTCAACAATGTAAAATTGTAAACATACAAGAAAAATCCTTACAGGTACTTACGTTGGAGAACTGATGCTTATTTTTCATAGAAATGTAAAGGGTGGGGAAGACTGGATGTGCACAATAACAGAAGGCATACAAACTTACTGCTGTAGGGATTCCATGCCAATTTACTAGCGTACCCTTTTCCTCGAATCCAACTCCATCAAATGCACCAGTCCAAAAAATGGAAATTAGAATGATAGCAGAAGCTAAAACCCCACTGGCAGAGATATAAGAAAGAATGCTTATGTTATCCAACCAAACCGTAGGCAAAATAAGAAGGGCCACAATTATAACAAAACTTTGTCTGCCACCTATTTCAAACCCTGCCACTTCAAGTCCCATGTTAGGAAATAAATTTTGTAAATTATCCCCTTCAAGAATGAGGAATCCTGTTGCAACTAAGTAGAGTTCTGTATACATGACGACTGATACCAAGAGTCTTCCCTTGTTACCAAAAGCACGCTCGCCTATTTCAGGATAAGTTCTGATATCGGAATCCACATCCATACATCTTTGGATCAATAAGCCTGTGTAAAAGGCTGCACTAGAGATAACAAAGAGGAGGATCAAGCTCAACCATCCTCCTGATGATAGTGCGTATGGAACTGAAAGGATCCCAACTCCTGAAAAGTCAAACAGAGAACAAAATTAGTTTTCCAGAATTTCTCTTTAATTTAAAATGCATCTAGCTAGTTAACTACAACACAAGCAGAATATATATTGAAGAGCAGAACCTGACAAAGCATTTAGTCCGTGGAAAACAGTCTTGAAAGAAGATGCGTTGCCTGTACTTGTATAACTGGAATTTGACTCCACATCTCCCACATTACATCCTAGCCTGTGTTGCCCCTTATCAACAAGGAGAGGCACAGCCAGCGATGATTCATCATGAGGCATGGTGTCCATATTGCAGACTGCTGAGTAAGAGAGAGGAAAATCAGCTAGAGCTTAGAATCTGCTGAGTTTTTTTTCCCCCCGAAGAAAAGTTCACGTACCAACAGGTGTTACTTAATGCAAGTTGGACGTCCCAAGAAATAAATATCTTCTCTTTGCATATATATATATATATGGGCGTTCAAAAGCATTTTAATGTGTCCAATTAAAAGCCTTGAAACGCATGAAACATATCCCTATACAGTCCTGTAGCAGTAAATCATTGAGTGACCTATCTTTTCCTTGTAGTTTGAATAAGACACTTTGTGACAAAAATTTCCGTGTAGCCAGTGGATGTTGCTGAAAATTCTTACTTTTGAAATGATTTTCAACACGGATTGCTATTATCTAATTCTCACTGGCATGCAAGTACTATACCTTGTCTCTTCACACCGCAAACGACACCCAACCAGTCAATATAAGTTGCCTAGGCACCAGACTGAAACTGAATCCAACTGAAACTTTGCTAACAAAGCAGAAATGTAAACCAATTAAATTTTTACATGTTTCCGTACGTAGACTTCATCGCTTACTTGGCTACACTCAGACATGCCTTATCATTTTTTACAAAAATATTGTCAACAGTTGTTTTTCACTAAACTGACTCCTACTCGTAAAACCATGATAAGAAAGCCTTGTTTTTTAAGATAATGGAGTAATTAAAAGAAAGAACTACACAATTAAGCAGATTAATGGATATTAATTTCGTGGTTGCAAATGTTATCCCAGTTATTTTCATAGGATACATAGAAGAGAGGGGACCAATAGTACCACGTATAATATCATTACATTTGGTTTGCTAATGTCTTAAATGTTTTTGCCAAGTCGTAGGAATATGACAGGTGAACTTTATGCATAGCCATGCTTTTAATAATGGAATTGGAGTAGGGACAATTTATTATCCTTCAAACGCTCAAATTAATACTCTTTCTACCTAGTAAGGTTATATATCACAGCTAACGTAAACCAATGACAAAATTATTATCCTTAAATTTAAAATGTTTGGGTTCCCATGTAGCAGATTTGTTACCTGGCCAGAAAGTTCAATAATCAACAAGCTTTAAGAATAGGTGAAGTCCAAGATTCCCCACTTTACTAGAGCTAACAGTGACGATTCCATGCAGGTAACAAAAGAGGTGCGAAATGGCAATCACCTACAGTCTCGTCTCCATGAACCCTAGATTCAATGTTTGCCCATGTTTTCTTGAAGTCATTAGATAATCAACTACTTACTTTCTTCAACGGGTAGACCATAAAATACCATAGACTCTTGGACTAAGAAATCAGTATATTAATTAGTCGCAGAAGAGAAAAAGAAGCAGCTATTACAGTACAGCCAAAATTAGAGAGATAACTCGCTATCACCGTTGTTTTACCTCCATTACTTGGATGGAACACTTTTGTTTTTACTTGCAGAATTTATACTGGTGTCAGGCTACCATGCATTACGAATAATATCGATTTGACAATGCTGTCGCTCGTCAGCGGGGACCAGATTAAAACCTTTTTAAAAAATAATAATAATAAATAAATACCAACAACAAGACCGATAGAATTTAAATCTTTCTCCAGAATTTTTTATACCCATCAAAAATTCTTAACCCTTAAAAATTCTTAGTCATTGAGTATTTAACTAAGTAATATTCAATGAAAGTGGTCAATGGAGGTGATCAAAAGAGATTGTCAAAAGAGGTGATCAATGAAAGTTGTCAAAGAAGATGATCAAATGAAATGATCAATTTTTATGACTTTTAATTAATTCTAAATGTTTTAAATGAGGAAGTTAAGTTTGCCTATAAATATGATCCTTATGTTTTTAATGTATGTATGAAAAATTAGAGAGAATAAGAGAGAAAAAAGGTAAGCAAGAGTGCAGTAGTTATATACTAGCAGACAAATACATATTAGCAACGAGTTAGAAAGAGAAAAATAGAATCAATCTATTGAGAGAAGATATTTTATGTGAGGTTTTTCTTGTAATCAATATATTGTTGTTTGAGTTTTATTTTGTAAGCTCGTTACGCTTCCAACAAGTGGTATCGAGCCGGGTTCGTGTCTATGCTTCAAGTGAGGAGATGGCCCATATGATTCAATCTCATATCACAAAATTAACAAAAACGAATGATGAAAACTGGAGCATCCGGATAAAAGTTCTACTCAATTCACAAGATTTATGGAAGATTGTTGAAGAAGGCTATACCGAGCCTAAAGATGCTACTATTGAAGCATATTTGACAAACGCGTATTCAAAAAGGATAAGAAGGCCTTGTTTTTTATTTTTCAAGGAGTTGATAAATCAACCTTTCGAGAAAAATATCGACGCGAGACATCAAAGGAAGCATGGGAGATTTTACGTAAATCTCTTCAAGGAGTCGAAAAAGCTAAAAAGGTATGGCTCTAATCACTCGAGTTGAATTTGAGACATTAAAAATGCGAATTCTAAAAAGATCAATGATTATGCCACTCGTCTAAAAATGGTAGTGAATGATATGGGAAAAATGGAGAAACTCTTAATACATGCATTCGCTTACAAGAAAATTTGATTATCTCATCACTGCTATCGAAGAATCAAAGGATTTGTCACAAATTTCTATTGACGAGCTTATTGGTTCTCTTCAAGCTCATGAGTAGAGAATGAGCCGGATGAAAATATTGATAATATGGAGCAAGCTTTGTAAAGTAAGTTATATATTAGTAACAATCAAACTAGCGAGTAGTTATGGATAAGGCGAGAGGAAATCAAGATAGCTATAGAGGTGGCTACGGAAATGGACTTGGTGGATGAGGACATGGTTGATACTTTTTAAAAAAAGGCTAAACAAATGAAGGCTATCAAATATACGGTCATGGTCAAGGATCCGAAACTAAGGAAAATATAGATTACAACGGTGAGGTCATAAATCACAATTGCAATGTTATAATTGTAATAACTATGACCATTTAGTTATGAATGCGAGTTTAGGTCTTAAGATGGATGAAACAAATCATTTTGTAGAAGCTAAAAACAAAGAAGTTGAATCCACTATATTCCTAGCATATAGAGGAAATGAAGAGTGTAAGAAACATGTTAGGCATCTCAACACCGGTGTCAACAACCATATATATGATTGAAAAGAGTTGTTTATAGATTTAAATGACACTATTTAAGGAGAAGTGACTTTCAATGACTCGTCAAAGATTTTGGTTAAAGGCAAAGATAAACTTATGATTACCTTAAAGAATGAAGATAAAAAATATATACATGATGTTTATTATTGTTAGCACCCAAATTTTTCCCCACAAAAATATAAAAATACAACAAAAGAAAAAAAGAAATGGGACTAAAAAAATATAATCGATGGATGTGATTGAAAAATTAGAGAGAAAATGACCAAAATAAAGCAAGTTTATGAGACGATGGACCAAACAAAACTTAGCCCAAAAGTCCTAAAAAACTAATATAAAAACCCACTTTTCTCTAAAATTTTCAGCCAACTTCTTTCTCTAAAACCAATAGCCACTCTCTCTCTCTCAAAAAGAGAAACGGATTCCGACCAGACCTTCACCTTCATAAAAATTTTGATCAACCCCTCCTTTACAAAAATTTTGGTCATACTCGATTTCCCCCACCCAACCCAGCCTATCTAACCTCGGTTTCAGCCACCTAGCCTAGACTAGAAGTCCATCCCAAACTAGAAGTTTTTCGACAAGACCTCTAGCTAGTCAAGCCCGGTCTAACGAGTCCGGTTCTCCATCCAACCGTTTGATTTTTCTTCCAACGACCATATCGCCCACCTCCAGCTAGTCCAAGCAGCCATATCATCGTCCTCCGGTCGATTAGCGGCTCCTCTAGCCCAATCCATTCATAAATCATGATGAAGCGACCACCCGACGTCCGACCAAGCAATCTCCAACCCGATCTCCATTAGTTCAACCACCCCGATCGATCGGACCAAACCAAACACCATCTCTACAAGTAGATCCGAATCGACCGGTAACATCCAACCAATCCAGCCCCTCCGTAGCCACTCGATCCGGAACTAACAACGGGCAGTTACCTCTCCTCGTCGATTGACCGAATATCGGTCTCCATCGAGGTTGAAAAGGTTGAAACTAACCTCAAATTTAATAGTCAAATTCATTTTGCATTTTTACATTAATTTATTTTTATCTTTTTAAATTTTATTTTTATATGTATTAAATTTAATTCACGTTGATGTGTGCCTATAATTAATTATGCTACTATGTTATGTAATTAATTTAAATTGTTGTATATATATGATTTAATTAAATTCTTATGGTGTGTGTGGTTTAATTGAATTGTTGTTGTGTTTATATGGGCTTGTTGATGTTGTGCTTCGTCGATGTGGTTGAATGTTCATTATTGCTTGTGAAATTTTTAATACGCAATAGCTCGAATCTCAACATTGATTGTTTTTACCAATCATAATGATTAATTGATATTGTGTCGATTTTCACCTAAAAAAATGATTCTTGGATCATTGTTGCTATTTGTGATGATCAATTTAATATCGAACCAATTTCGTCCAAAAAACACGATATTTGAGGTCGAGTCGATCTAAATCTTTTTTTGCTTCTTTTTTGTCAAATTCAACTATTTTGCCAATTTCTCTTGAAAATCATAACTTTTAAAGTCTTGTTAATCTTAATCTCGTTTTCGGATCATTTTTGTCAATTTTAATGATTTTTGTCAATGTTGCCATTTTTGTCAATTTTGTCATTTTCACGCTTTCTATAGCCTTTGTCAATTTTATTGATTTTGCTTAATTGTCAATTTTTATTGATTTTGCCTATTTGTCAATTTGTTGATTTTACCTAATTATCGATTTTGTCGATTTTGTCCAATCTGTCCATTTTGCCTATTTTGCCTAATTGTCGATTTTTGTCAATTTGTCCATTTTGCCTAATTGCATATTTTTCGATTTTGCTAATTTCTTAAATTGTCATTTTGCCTAATTGTCTATTTATCGATT